GAAACAGAATTAATGATATATTTTTAATATTTTTACAAGTCTCTTTAAGTTGATGCCTAGTGACATTTAACAAGATTTTTATATTCAGTCTAAAAAGATTTAGAACATAAACTGACACTAAGTAATGAATATAATTTCTCTGTGCCATGCAGAAAAGAAGTCAACTTTTTACACATCATCACTCCTAAATAGTTCTAATTAAAATCCAAACTGTTCCCATTTTTGCTTCATTGTCATTCTTTGGCAAAAGATTCAAAATAGCCATGGGTTAGGAAACAACTGTTCAATCACGTTCTTTATTTTTGCAAAATAAATGTGTTTTGTAAAAGGAATCTGCACTGTGCCTGGTTTATACATAAGCAAAAATATTATGACTTTTTTTGACTAATCTACTCCTAAAGCTTTGAGTTGCCTTTCAATCTCTTCATCGGAGATTGTAGCCTTTGAAGTAGAGGCAGATGGTAAGCTTCGGGCAGCTGATGGAGCTTTGGCCATCTATATTAAAGAAAGGAAAAGAGGAAAGAAATGTGTGTTAGCAAATATGTGGGCTAGGACATCAAGGATGTGATGTAATTTACTTTTGAAACAAATATAAAAACGTGCACCTAATAGTAAAAAACAATTTGTAACAATTAACTGACAAAAGTGGTAGAAACTATTTCCAACTAAGAAAAGAACATGTTCATACCTTTCCAGAGATTTCAATTCCAATTTCATCAAGGACTTGATTCACAATATCCTGGCTTTCTTCTTCATCGTCAGAGCCCTCAAAGATGTCATCAAGCGTATCATTGACTGGGGGATGGGGAAAGGAGGGAACAAAGCAATTACTGTCAAACAAATTCCAGGTTAGATTTATTAATACATTTTTAGAAATTAGCCCAGCTATGTGTATATATTTTTTATATTTATGTTATTGAAAGTACATTTAGTGAATCAATCATTTACAAAAGTCACTTTAAGATATCAGTAAAGCCTGTAATCCCAGCACTCCGGGAGGCCGAGGAGGGCGGATTGTTTGAGCTCAGGAGTTCAAGACCAGCCTGAGCAAGAGCAAGACCC